AGGCAATGCGTAAAATCTTTCTTCACTATCCTTTTTTCCGATCCCAAGTTACCTTTAGTGGCCTCTTATGTCGATCAGTGATTCGGAAAAATTTGCCTTTCTTCCCCGAACATTTGAAAGCCGGCTTTCGAACGCTCTTCTAAAAAGCCAATGCAATACACATACAGTTGGAAAAATCTAATTTTTAATTTTTCTCGTTTAAACGTAATTTTAACGCCAGCAAAAAACTTTTTTAACGTGTGAATGGAAAATGGATGTAGCATATTGATAAAAGAAAAAACCGCCCACCCTCCCGCGGGTGAAATGGATTGTGCCATACTCTTGTGAATGAACTGCACGGTAAGGGCGACTTCATACAAGCTTCGACTACTCTCAATGGATACAATTTTGGCGGGAAAAAACGGGACTCTAATCTCCCGTTTTCCGTCCGTCTATCAATTTATCGTAAAGAGGATCGCTTTCTTTCTCCGGCCGTGTGGCAGTTAGTAAGAAACGAAACAGTTGAGACGCGTAAGTACTTGTTCGTTGTGCAGTCATTCATAATTATCAATCTACTCAACATTCATTGACATTTTGCCTTTGGTACTAACTGCTGCTTCGAACACCAGGAGCCGTCTGTATTTGGCATTTTGCCAGAGAATCTAACTATCCACTCACTATAACCGGCGATATTGCTATATTGTGGTACACGTTTCCCTCGTGGTGCGCGCAACGTTTCGGATTTTTACTTTGCATTTCTCTCGCCAAATTGGAATATTTTAAAATACACGGTAAGATGTTATTTTAATGTCAGAATCCATTCTAACTTTAAAAATTCTCTAACCGGCAATTCACAGCGTTTCCACCGTTTTCGAAATAATGCTACGTCGTTGCATCATTGCTAACTCGTTGATCGCGATACTAATTTTACCTAGATTCTTGCGTTGGTAACCGAAAAGAGTTCGACGCGTTAACATTGTTATAGGTTAGTTAAGCCTAATAGATGTCTTCCCGCCGAGTTCCTCCTACTTGATATTAACATCGTTCTTCTGTCCAATCGTTACGTCGCTTTTATCGGATCGTAACGCCCCTTCCTTTGATGACTTTTTATTGAGGATGAACCGTGTTCTTTTTTTAATGTGTTGTAAAGTTATCTAATAGTATATTAAAGTAGGACGACCGAATCGTGGTTCGTAATTGCCAAAATCGTATTCGTAAAAGGCTAACTCTTCGATTCGGTTAAAAAAATTTTTATCCGAATTAAAAGATAATACAGGATATTCAAAATTCATTTCGATTCAATTATCTATTCTGGAGCAATATTTAGGACTTGATCATCGGTAATTTATTATATCTGGCTTGTAAAACGAAATATTCCAACATCCTTCTGAATATCTATTCACTGGTACCTCTCGTTAAATTCAAAACCATTTCTTTCATATAATATAAAATAATTGATGAAATAAGAATTACGTGGAAATTTTTTTTATATATATTTAAATATGATTGAAAACACTATGTCTAATTATAATGATGGATGATAGTGTTTATTCAGATTTGTAAACAATATTGTATGGAGAATAGATAATATAAAATAATTGATGCAATTATTTTTTTAAAAATTAAAAAATTTTTGTGTGAGTTTTTACTTAATCAATNTATTAAACAGGTGTTTCATTAAATATCTAAAGCATGATTAGTTACATTGACAACATTAATGATTGAAAACACTATGTCTAATTATAATGATGGATGATAGTGTTTATTCAGATTTGTAAACAATATTGTATGGAGAATAGATAATATAAAATAATTGATGAAATAAGAATTACGTGGAAATTTTTTTTATATATATTTAAATATGCTTTTAACTAAAATTTTACCCAAATAGAAGATATTATCATGTGGAATATTTATGAGAATAAGTGAATATATATGTAGGGTTTGTGTGTGCGTGCGTGTGTACATATATGTACTGTACATACATACATAAATACGGAATTGTTTGAGTTAACTAGAATTTTATCTAATTTTATTCTAAGGTATCCTACACACAGATCTTATATGATGCTAATATTTCTAATTCTGCTTTGGATGGTCATTTTAAGCCAATACAAATTTTTAATAAGTTATCTCCAATAAAATTGGTGTTCCAAATGTTTGTTAGTCATAAAATGAACTTGTAGAATTTATTTTTTGTTGGTAGAAATAGTTGAATTTTCGATGGGAAGATAACATAGTTACATATAAGGATTCAGTGTTATAAAATCATTAGTGTGTATTATTTTGTTGCTTGTAATTAGAATTTTAGATGTAGGCTGGATTTAAAGAATGTCTGGTCGTTTTCGTGGTTTTTACCTAGTGTCACAGCGGGCGACATATTGTTCCTTATCGCCTTACCTGCCTGAAGAATGTTGGGAATTTCACCGGATATGAACCCCACACATAACTGATGGATGGGAAAGATGCTGAACTGCTAAGCCTAAAGTCGGCTAGGCGCCTGGTATTTCACCCCAGGGGTCAAGTGCCTGGTCGGAGTTCCTGGAAAGTGTACCCCGATATTGCCCTCTGCTGTCAAACATGCGAAGTAGTAACGACACTTATTCTTTTAGTGACGTTCGTTAATAATTAGGAAAGTATCTTCGTAGCAGCGCGGAAGTTGTTTTCTTCCGGATTTTCCACCCTTGTTATTACTCAATAAAATGTTGATTTCGTTCCTTGCCGGTTCGATGCTCGTCACTTTAAATACGAGTGAAAATCAAACAATTGCCCGTGTCGCGTAAAACCGTTGGTGTATCGACCTTGAAATTGTGGCGAAAATTTTAGTTTTAGTTTAAAATCTTAAATTTATTCGGTTTAATCATTGGATTAAAACTAATTTCAATGATCGATTGTTATGTGTTATGATAATAGTAAAATGCTGATTTCTCTTGTTCCGTTCCGACATTAAGTGCTTTTAACTTCAGCTATGTCAGCATTGATTCTCCTCCTTGGTCATTCGTGAATGATGTTAGAGTATCACGTACTTGCGTGATCAGAGTTGTCGTACGTGAGAGATCTTATTCGAGTGGTACGAATATGTTCCATTCGGTGTAGAGTCTCCTGATATTTCACCCCACAGATGATATTTGGAAGATGGCGAGTTGAGGTAATGGGGCCCTCGTTAGGGGACCAGACGCCATTGATCGAATCACCGTTGTTCGTTAATTCTCTTTGGGAATAAGAATTAAACATATCCTACGTAAAAATCATTGATTATTCTTAATTAGAAAGTATCTATTACTGTTTGCTGACACAACAAACGACTACATATGTTTCTGTATGAAATAACAGCAATCATACTTTCTTAGCCTACGCTATCATAGCGGAAGTGGCATGGTCTGGTCGTGTTCCATTCTAGTATTAAGGGAGATGATAGAATATGAGGGAGTTAAACTAATATCGTTTTATAAATTGCTATTTTTCAATCTGCAAAATGTTGTTATAAATTCTCTCTTTACAGGTTTCATCCGAAATGGAAACGCCGCAACGAGTAAGTACCTATTTTGATAATATTAATAATTATTTTTAAACGTTTTACGGAAATTAATGTTTTATAGCAAATTCTTTTTAACAGAAATAAGTAATCTTTACCGTGAAAGACATGGGTAGTGAGATGCTACTAGGATCCATCTCACTACCTTGTCTTTGACGGAAAGGATGTCTTTACACGTCTTTACATATATGTCGACATGATTTTTTTTCAGTGTACGATCCCGATTCCCAGCGAAGCCATCAAAGTGGTCGTGAAATGTGTGATAAATCTTACTCATATCACAGCCACCTTTGATGAGCTAAACTGAGGAAACATCCGAAATTCACGAAATGATGCAGGATGATCGAAGAATAAGTTTAACCATTCTTTGCTCGTCAAAATGGCTATGGTGTGTTGATTTTCGATAACCATATCACAGCCATATTGATGAGTTGTGGATTGTTATTGTCGAACGAAGTCTTCTGCAGTCGGGTCTGACAGGATTGTTTACTAGCCGTTCCGCTCACAAAGTGGCTGTTGTATGTTGTTTTCTTCCATATCACAGCCAGCTTTGATGAGTGAGATGGGTAGCACAGCTGCGAATCCAGGACTCGGATCCATTACCAAAATTTTACACAAACGACTGCTAATTTTTATTTCACAACAGTATTTCGTAATTAGAATATTTTATAAAACTAATGTTCAAAACTTATTATTCCGTATTAAATTTTTTCATGCCTTTTAAGTGAAGATTATTAAGTTCTACTTTATCTATTAATCCAATAATAACCGCTGGCTTAAAATTAATAAATAAATACGCAAATGTTTTTAACTCATGTTTCTAGTCGTCAGAGTGGTTTTGATATGTAAAACTCCTCTCCATATCACAGCCAGCTTTGATGAGTAGAACCATGGGTAATGTAGCTTCTGCCTTGAATTAAAAAATATTTTTTAAAAAAACCAAAAAAAAACTAGTCTGAGAACTTAGTTTAGGTAAATATTTAAATTTTATTTTGATTAATCCTTAAAAGTTTTGAACATGGAAAACGTGTTTTGTTTAGCTTTATAAAAGAACTGGAAATGTTTGTGAATAAAGCGTCATTTTAAAAAGTGCAAATCAACAAACAGAAGGGGGGAAACTGTTTACTGGGTGATTCAAGAGGTTAATGACGTCAATGTAATGACGCCATTATAAGATTTATGCTTCGGCCATGTCGATTCGACGACAAATGAGTTGACTTTTGATGTTAACCAATAGAATTGAGATAATTTAATACCGTAAAAGTAATAAGGATTCTTCTTAATACAAAAATATATCAAGACGATTACTAGTAAACATTTGGTTAGTGGAAATTAGGACGACTTTGTTTATTATTAGCTTTTTCTTTTACGTTCTTACGAATGTTCTATAATCTTTCGTCTTGTAAAATTATGATGTAATGAGAAAGTAATCCAATAAAATTATGCAGATTCTTTAAATTTAATTTTTTTTTTACTTTGATCACTTAAACTTTGAACACGACAACTCTAATGTCAAAGAACTTGTGCTTATTTGGCACAATTCATGTTTCCATCAAACATACAAATAGTATATACATAAAAACGACAACTGTAGGAAGTCTTTAGAGAGATAAACTAGATACGTCACTTAGAAGCGTAAAAAATGCGCAAATAATTACACAATGAGATACTGCTTTTTTAATGTGAACATCTAAAAGTAAAAACAAAAATCGCATTTTCTCACAACATTGTGTCATTACAAAAGATTAATTTTTTTTTAAGATATTAGATTGGTTTTTAAATGTAAGTTTATGGAGTAAAACTAAATCAAAAATGCCATTTGATAAGAAAAGAATATTTACAATAAACTGGATAAACATTATTTACAATAAATGAAGTACTACCTGCATAGCACGATAAGGAACAGTTCCGTTAATAAAATACAATAATTTTTCTTCGAACAACCTCGTTTTTTTAACTTCCTCGAAATGTTCCGATACGAAAATTTTTGGCAGTTTGTATACACTGATTCTAACGGAATTTGATATACAAATTATTACTGATGAACAAAAAACAACAGCGAACTTCATTTTCTTATTTCCGTCAGTTTTTTTTTTACAAAAGCATCTTGTGCTGATTATCACAGTTTATTTCGTTTGTTGGTTTTTCTCGGATTTTTAACCGTGCTGACTAACACAGAAAACTTTTCCTTTATGTTCTGGTTTCCCGTAATGACCTGTAGAAATTTGTTCATCAGCGGTAGTATTATGACAAACCACTAATGTAACTATATCTCGCTTTCCATCTAATCCTAACACAATAGCTTTCCCGTCCATAGAAAGTTCACAACATATCAGCGATTGATCTGGAGTGAATACTGCTAAACACTCACCTAGGAGGGAAAACAAAAATTACTTAACATTTGTGGTCAAACTGATTATAAAAATAACGCACAACTTACCCTTGGTCACGTCCCATAATCGTAGACTTCGATCTCTTCCCAGTGAATCGTATGTGAGACACCTGGACCCCGTTTCGCTCATTCGTATCTGATCTACTGGTGCAGTATGGCCCCTTAAAGTAAATCTGGTAGAAACCGATAAACCGTTTAGTAATTTCCGATTATAAACAGTAGTAGTACTGTAGTATAGATCTAGAGCCCATACCTTCGTGCGCCCGTAACTAAATCCCAAATTAGAAGCCAGGTGTTTTCTAAGCCGTTAACTATACATCCTCCTTGGGACGAAATAGCGATACTGCAACTATTGCTCTCCGGTTTCCATTTTTTGAACAACGTTCCACTTTGTAAATCGTACACTATGATGAAATTAGGCGACGTATCGTGAAGTTCCTAAGAAATTCTTTGGTATTATTTTTTCCATTCTTTTTATAATAAAATAATTACCTTACAAAAGTACTTACTCTGCAAACAGATACGACGTAATGTCCATCATCNGCGGAATGTCAAAATAATAAAAACAAATCTTATTTTTTCGTGATAATTTTGACTTTTTCTCTTATAATAACTTATTTTATAAAGTATTATTAATACTCTGCACATTTAATTAACAGTTAATGTTATATTTCTGCATTATTAAAACTTATTTCAGTCGGTAGAATCGATATTAGGCTATGTCTAGGATGATGATGAATAAATTTGGAAGTAATCCCATTACGTAATTTATGTTTTCCAATAATTATCTTAAAAATCGACAAAGTAATAATTATTATTTTTCTGTCTATATATTTCTGTAAATTCTTTAAAACGTTAAACATTTTTAAAATAATTTAATAAAAACTTCAAATGGGCGCCAGTCAGATAGCCGAGATGATATTAAAAAAAAAGTCATCCTATCGCTCTGGTGGACCAGGGATCGAATTCGGGTGAGCAACTCCAGGAATTTTTCGGAAGGGCGGTCTGTCCCGGGTAAGTCGTGCTTCTCCCTCACTATGGGTCTGACAGAAAAGGACTCTAATTTAAAAAGCCCTCCTAGTACCCATAAAGAAAGAAAATCAAAAGGGCTTACACCTAGTCCTTTATATATATATATATGGGCTGGACTGCCTTCGGTTTATTACAGCATGATTAGCTTCCGCCAAAAGAGTCCGGATTCGAGTTTGCTTAAAGCAAATTCCATCTTTCCTCCTGAACCATTCTCGACATCTTCCAATGGAAACTGCTTAAGTGACAAAACTAGAACTTTCTTTTTATGCCAAAGGAATAATAGTTGTAAATTGGATAATTAACATTAAAAAAAACGCTTCTTGATAGATTTAACTAAAGCAACGTTTCCGTAACCAATTTCGATACATAATTAGCAATCATTTTGTCAATCTTAATTAAATAAAATTAAAATTTTCACCAAATTTCCTGTAGATCATATTTTAATAATTGCATACCGTATGCTTTATAATCTGAAATACAGCAATATCCTAAGGCGACTTTCATCTAAAATACCACAAATGCAAATTTAGTAATTTTTCCTGTGTTTACATAAATTTTATAAATTCAATTTTGCTTTCGTTTTGGTAGCCTGCCATAAGTGTACCGATAATACTTTTATATAAAATTTGTCCATAATTTTAAATATATAGTTGAATCCATTATGCAGGCCGACAATGATATTAATGACAGAATAAATGAATGAATGCTTAAAATATATATATGTTACACTAGGATAAATATTAAAAATATTCTATAGAATATAAATTATTATTATAATCATACGTATGGGCTGAAAACCTCGCACTTACATTCAACTCTCGAAATTGTTCTATTGCCATTTTCAATTTTGTTTATCGTTGATAAACCTGATCAGAATCGCAATTAACCATTATGGAAACAAGAGATGTGAATTTCTCAATGTACAGTACAAGTAAATATCTTTACACCAAAGGCAGATTTAAGTATGGGCCATCATAATTGGTCATTAGTATTTCCAGAAATAAATCCAATGAAATAATTGGATACAATCTTGTATCATTTCGGGCAAACTTGGTTCATAATGAGATCGGCCAGAATAAATAAGAGACAAAGAATGAAATCTCCACCCATACGATTTACAAAAATTTAGCCTACTAGATTCGAATCTGGAACCGCCGCGAAGGAAAGAAAAGCCTCTTGTTGCACAGCCACATGTTGAAACGAGTTAATTATGGATACAGTCCGAATAATTAAGAATATTTTGTATAAATAATTTCCATTGTCCATTAGTGCTTTTTTATTTATTTTTTTTTTTTTAAATCTCCCTATGAGGTTCTTTTTCATCACTCATTGTGAGTTCGGTCAGGTACACACTGAAGCGGTCGAGCAAGACTTCCCGTGAAAACTTCCTGGGGTTGCCCACCAGAATTCTTTGTTTGTTTATTAGGTTATGGCAACGCAACACTTGGGTGATCTGCCTAGATCAGGGGATGCCTTCCGGGAAGTCTTTTTAAGGGAAACTGGCCCCTATTTAGGCATTACAGACGTGGAGAAAACCTGGAAAACTCCACGTGGCCAACCCGTCCGAGCGAGGCGCGAACCCACGACCGAACTTCCATTGTACAGGGTACGAAAATCGCTTGGCCACTGATGGACCTTCCCACCAGAATTCGATACCGGGTCTTACNGGTAATGTAGCTTCTGCCTTGAATTAAAAAATATTTTTTAAAAAAACCAAAAAAAACTAGTCTGAGAACTTAGTTTAGGTAAATATTTAAATTTTATTTTGATTAATCCTTAAAAGTTTTGAACATGGAAAACGTGTTTTGTTTAGCTTTATAAAAGAACTGGAAATGTTTGTGAATAAAGCGTCATTTTAAAAAGTGCAAATCAACAAACAGAAGGGGGGAAACTGTTTACTGGGTGATTCAAGAGGTTAATGACGTCAATGTAATGACGCCATTATAAGATTTATGCTTCGGCCATGTCGATTCGACGACAAATGAGTTGACTTTTGATGTTAACCAATAGAATTGAGATAATTTAATACCGTAAAAGTAATAAGGATTCTTCTTAATACAAAAATATATCAAGACGATTACTAGTAAACATTTGGTTAGTGGAAATTAGGACGACTTTGTTTATTATTAGCTTTTTCTTTTACGTTCTTACGAATGTTCTATAATCTTTCGTCTTGTAAAATTATGATGTAATGAGAAAGTAATCCAATAAAATTATGCAGATTCTTTAAATTTAATTTTTTTTTTACTTTGATCACTTAAACTTTGAACACGACAACTCTAATGTCAAAGAACTTGTGCTTATTTGGCACAATTCATGTTTCCATCAAACATACAAATAGTATATACATAAAAACGACAACTGTAGGAAGTCTTTAGAGAGATAAACTAGATACGTCACTTAGAAGCGTAAAAAATGCGCAAATAATTACACAATGAGATACTGCTTTTTTAATGTGAACATCTAAAAGTAAAAACAAAAATCGCATTTTCTCACAACATTGTGTCATTACAAAAGATTAATTTTTTTTTAAGATATTAGATTGGTTTTTAAATGTAAGTTTATGGAGTAAAACTAAATCAAAAATGCCATTTGATAAGAAAAGAATATTTACAATAAACTGGATAAACATTATTTACAATAAATGAAGTACTACCTGCATAGCACGATAAGGAACAGTTCCGTTAATAAAATACAATAATTTTTCTTCGAACAACCTCGTTTTTTTAACTTCCTCGAAATGTTCCGATACGAAAATTTTTGGCAGTTTGTATACACTGATTCTAACGGAATTTGATATACAAATTATTACTGATGAACAAAAAACAACAGCGAACTTCATTTTCTTATTTCCGTCAGTTTTTTTTTTTTACAAAAGCATCTTGTGCTGATTATCACAGTTTATTTCGTTTGTTGGTTTTTCTCGGATTTTTAACCGTGCTGACTAACACAGAAAACTTTTCCTTTATGTTCTGGTTTCCCGTAATGACCTGTAGAAATTTGTTCATCAGCGGTAGTATTATGACAAACCACTAATGTAACTATATCTCGCTTTCCATCTAATCCTAACACAATAGCTTTCCCGTCCATAGAAAGTTCACAACATATCAGCGATTGATCTGGAGTGAATACTGCTAAACACTCACCTAGGAGGGAAAACAAAAATTACTTAACATTTGTGGTCAAACTGATTATAAAAATAACGCACAACTTACCCTTGGTCACGTCCCATAATCGTAGACTTCGATCTCTTCCCAGTGAATCGTATGTGAGACACCTGGACCCCGTTTCGCTCATTCGTATCTGATCTACTGGTGCAGTATGGCCCCTTAAAGTAAATCTGGTAGAAACCGATAAACCGTTTAGTAATTTCCGATTATAAACAGTAGTAGTACTGTAGTATAGATCTAGAGCCCATACCTTCGTGCGCCCGTAACTAAATCCCAAATTAGAAGCCAGGTGTTTTCTAAGCCGTTAACTATACATCCTCCTTGGGACGAAATAGCGATACTGCAACTATTGCTCTCCGGTTTCCATTTTTTGAACAACGTTCCACTTTGTAAATCGTACACTATGATGAAATTAGGCGACGTATCGTGAAGTTCCTAAGAAATTCTTTGGTATTATTTTTTCCATTCTTTTTATAATAAAATAATTACCTTACAAAAGTACTTACTCTGCAAACAGATACGACGTAATGTCCATCATCGCTGATGGCAGAAAGTCGTGTGATGAACTCGTGATGAGGGATGCGAAGGTCATATACTAATTTACGATTTGACAAATCCCATACAAGTAAAGGAAATGGCTTTTGGGTTTCGTCACCACACACACATATCCTTCCATTAGCACTGACTAATAAACTGTTGAGGAATCTAAATAAAATAATTTCGTTTTATATTTAAAAATTGTCCATTTTTCGTTTAGACGGCAATTTCTTTTTAGTTCTTTTTTTTATCTGTCCCATGAATAATAATATCATCGTTGCACAATTTAAGACGCGCCTATCGAGTAGGACTGTCCTACATTAATATATAAGGCGAATCTTAATACAAATTAACGTATTAGCAATTTAAATGCTATGTTAATTATCACAACACTTCATAATTAGCATTATTTTTATATACAATGAGCCTAATATATTTAACATCTTTTAAAATAATTTTTTATAGTGAAAAAATTTTCATCCTTTATAATAATTTCACGGAGTTAATAAAAATAGTTTATTAATATTTAGGCTATAATTTGCTCATTGTAATGATTATTTAAATACTATTTTAAAATAATCTCGGCACACTTACCTGTCTTCGCCAACTTTAAAAGTAGTCTCTAAATCACCGGTAGCCAAATTCATCATATTAACGTACATTCTGTTACGTGAGAGAGCAACTACATAATTTTGGTCGTGCAGTCCGTAATAGGGCATTTTTTGATTCATAACTCCTTTTAATTTTATAATCAAGTTTCCATCGTCTAAGTCGTACACTTTAAGTTCACGATTGCATAAGACTAATGCCTTGTGTTTATCGATTAATTTGATATCTCTAGGTTGCGTCACACCAGTTAAAGTTCTGACGGGAATTTGTTCGTATATATTCCATACCGTGATCTCTCCCCTCTCCATCGATAAAGAGATCATGTGTGAATCATCGTCTTTAATTCTGTATAAACTCATCGGTACTTTGTTGTCTTTGGTATCTTCGTTAGCCTGAAGAGGTTCGCGAAGACAAGTTTTTAGCGGCAGAAGATTAGTTATGGAGGGGCAAGAGGAGGTTTCAAACAAAGTCCTGATCGACGGATACTTTTCGCAGTTGCTGTTATCGGTCATAATTTTCATTAATCGTCCGTACATCTGAGCAAAAAATTGCGAACCATCGTATCGAAGAGAATAGCTGGATAATTGGATTAATTGGTACATTAATTCTATTTCTTCGTCGACGGTGTCCAAGGTTTGTTTATATATAGTTAAATCTTCTAGAAATTGATAAGGATCGGAACCTTGAAACTTAAGTAAAAGCCAATTTGGATCGAGTAGGAACTTCTTTTTTATCTCGTCTTCCGAAGTCAGACAACACAGGGGTAGTTCGTCCAGTTTACGACGATTTGGACAATTATCGAACATAATGGGCTGCTCCATAATATACCTGTGATTTCCATTTTCCGTGGCTTCTCCCTCATGTTTTTCCTGGTAGTAATCCTTTATAGCGTTAACACATTTCTCTAGAATATTTTTATCCACGTATTTCTCGCGCAATACATTAGCGATTCCGTAACTACAGAAAGTTAATAATCTTCCGCCGATTACTTTCGATCTGAGTTCACGACGTAGACACGAACGAATGAAATTCCAAGTGAAACACGGAACCCGTTGTATGCGGCACTTTCTACCCCCGTAGATTCGTTTCAGGACGTCGTCGTTGCACGACAAGATATCTAAAAGTTCACTATCCGATAAGCCGTGTTTTGCGGTTACCAGTAAACCAAAGATGAAGAACAACACATTAGATCCCACGTAATCGGAAATTTCTTTGATTAATAAATCCTCAATGTCGTTATCGGGTAACGTTTCGTAGCCCGTGTCATCACTACTCCATTTTATGCAATAATGACCTAATAATTGGGCGTAATTAACGCTCGGCGACTTCTCCAAACAAGTTTTCACCGATTGGAACTGTTGTGCCGTTAACTGCCTCTGATGTTTTTTTAAGATTTCTCTTACCAGATCGATTCGTTCCTCTATGCTAATGTGATCGACAGAAACAAAACACGACTCTTCGCTGATCAATTTCTGTCAAGTATAAAAAAATCCGTTAATAGTTTTTGCCAGCTTTAAAAAGATAACAAGAAAATCTACCTTGATCTCTTCAAACTCTCCCGTGTCGTCTCGCACCGTCAATAAAAGCTTGACATGATTAGGCAGTTCCTTAGGAAGCCATTTTAAGTCACGATTACTGTAATTGGCCGTTTGATCCAAGCCGTCGATGACGATGACCAGAGGTCGTTGAGCGGACACTTTTTCTAATAATATTCCGAGAGCGGAGCCGTGTTTTTCGATACTCTACAATTATTATCCAATATTTCATCAGGGATTTTGAGTAAATTGCTACATTTCTAAATGAAACTAATATACTTTATAAAATAATAATAAACACAAACCATAAAATGGAATATGTGGATACCTCAGAAGCCACTGACGGGTGTTCTCCATAAAGAGCGCAACACTGTTCGCTTATACTGCGCAGTAAATGTTCCTGAGTTGATGATTCGGGAGTAATGTTTACGAATCTTACCACCGCGGCGGCATCCGGTTGCCACTCGCTGCATTTTTCCATTAATTTCGCTATTAATCCCGATTTACCGCATCCGGGAGGGCCGTGAAGTATGAGCGGCATAGAAACTTTACTGTCCAAATATTCTTTGCACTTGGCTAACAGATTCTCTCTCCCTGTAAAATACTGGCCGTGTCGTTTGCACTCGTTGGCCTGCTGCATTAATTCGACACGCAAAGAACGCTCGATTCCTAAGAAAACGCATCCAAATGAATATTCTTGCCGGCTAAAAAAGTATGATTTAGATATAAATATTACCTGAATAAGGCGTGTGCGCCTCTTCCATTAAGTCGTCTTCGATTACCGCATCGATCATTTTTTGCAGCTCTTCTCTCATGGTTTCGCATAGGGTTTCCAAGTAGCGGGCGTGTTCCGGTAATTCGTGGTTGGAAAGTCCACTCTCGTTCCACTTGACGTAAAATACTAATTTTTGCGTATCCGGCAAGTGGTCTTCCAGGTAACGCTTCATTCTGTCCACTCGTTTCCAGTCCGTGACGTTTAGAGGTCGACGAAGGCTCTCTTCCGGCGCTACGCTTTCTCCTTCTCCCTGAGGAGGAAGATGTGTAAATCTTCTCTGCACCCAAATACATCTCTTCGCCTGGTGTAAGTCGTCCGAAACGATGTTCAAGATTTCGTCTTCGAAAACTGCCACCAAAACACAAAAGAAAAAAAAAATAATTACTGCAATTCGGTGATGCCATCTAGCGATAAAAATTAGCAAACATTTACCTGTAGATAAGTATTTGTCTCTCTGATCTTGTTGCAGTATTTTTTTGAAAGTTTCCACGATTTTTCTCGATTCCGCTCTCCACAGATTCATGGCTTCTTGTCTGTCGGTCCAGTTTTCGCTGTTGATGTTCGGAATGTGATCCGAAATGGGACGTAAGATGTAAGAAGTAGACTCAGAGTTCGTGTCTAACTTGTACCATTTTTGAAAAGTTTGCTTTTCTTCTTCCAATTCTACGCCGTTCATCAACGTTTCGAAGTCCGATTGTGGCATGGCACGGGGAGGTACCGATGCTCCAAGGTTGTCGTTCAAGAAAACCTTGAAATTTTTATTGTTAAAAATTTATTATAGCAAAGAAGAGCGATAAGGACGCCTACCGTAATATATGTTCGTGTAGACGCCAATCCTTACTTTTTATTCTCGCGCTTTCATATTCCAATAAAGTTGAGGAAATCATCGATAGAATTAATTCGAAATAAATTTTATTTATGGATAAAGTAGAAGAAAATTACCTAAGATTTTTTTTATGGCCGGGAGGAAAGTCGTTCTCCCTTTAAAACCGTATTGTCGAATTGTCGGCTCAAATTCGAAGCCTCGGCCATGTACGAACATTAACTAAGATTACCGTTATAGAATATCCTGGGCACAATAAAGTAAAACGTCAGACCCCCGGAAATTTTAAGTGGTGATGAAATCTGATCGCAGTTGTCTTTAAAAACCAGTCCTGTGTATTTGATACCGCTATTTTCTAACAGTTGTCTCGCAGGGATACTAAATCAAAAATTAATTGTATAGGAAATTTTGGAGTTTTAATATTTATTCCATTATTCCCTAGCTCCTTTTTCACTTCCCCGTAACTACCGGCCTTTTTTAAAATTTATGGTGAAAAAATTATTTTTTTAAGGTCGTTAATACAAAAGTATTTTGATTCTTAACGGCTCTACTTTGAAGTGAAATTATTTTTCTTTTGTTATATAATTTCTGGAAATTATTGTTATTATAACTCGAATGAAGACCCTTTTATTCTCCCACGGACATTTTAATCTCCTTTACTTATTCTAGACCATATTTGTAATTAAAATAGTTGTTAACGTGTTCATTTCAGATGGTCTAAGAAGTGTTCATCCGGACATTTATCTGGATGCTGCGTATGGAAAAATTAAGGGAGGGGGAAACACCGAAAAGGGCCAACTTAGAATGAAAGTAAAAAACCAAAGCAAGTATGACAATCGAAAATCTAAGCGCCTTTTTATAAAGGTTTAATTAATAAAACTGCTTAAAAAGGGGTCAAGACGCTAGGCGGTTGAAGATTTTGTTAATTTAATTGTTAAAATCAAATTAAAAGAATAATGTAAGAATTCTCATTAGAAATTATTCACAGTACATACAAATTAATCTTTTAAATATACTAAAATAATCTATCGATAAGTTATTATTTTTAAATTGTGACAAATATGAGGCTTTTTTTTATACCCGTTCAAATCAAAGGGGAATCTTCTCTAGCACACTAAAGGCAGTCACAATGTAATTATGTTAATTTAAATATTAAACAACAAATTAAAATAAATACTTGGTCTTAAAATTAAAATTTACACCCGATAACTTCTAAGAATAATGTGTTAAACGGCGGATAGAGTAAATTCAGAGTTAATAGGATATATGTAATATACTGTGTATGTTATGGCATGTATTTCGAAAATTGCTAGGTAAAGAAATATATTCTTAAACTTGTAGCGACTAATTTTCGCCCGTAAATAATTACGAACTAATAATTTTAATTTGCACCATCATAATTCATAAATTATACAAGTTATTCGAAACGAACCGATTAGCAATTTTGGATATAATTTTACAACTTCACAAAGTACAAACATCCATTAGCTGAAAGCAAAATGGAGAAGTAACTCCGATAATACCACCAGTTAAAATCCGAATTACCAAATACAAATTTAAGGAAACCATTTTGGAAAATAATTTTTTTTACTCTCGATTTCGATTACGTTAAATACTAAGAAAATCGAAAGGACTAAGTCTACAAAGCAATTACAAAAGTAATAATTAATAAAAAACGTATTAATTAAATTGAAAACTCGCTTCTGGCCCATTCGATTATCGGTAAAAACAGATCGAATCCGTCCTTGACCCCATTGCGTCATAAATCTGTTAGTTTAGGGGCTAACAGTTCGGAAAAACATTTTCACCAGTCTGCAAAATCCTATCGAATTTACGCTTATATTTAATATCAAACCCAACGTAGACGTGTTTATCTAATCTCGCATTATGCCAAATTTATTGACATTATTTAAGTTTTATCAATTCCGAGCGTACAAACTTTTCTATCAACCTTATCTTTGGATAAACTCGTACTTTTACGTTCCAGTACAGAAACGTTTATCCGTACTTCCCAATAATTACGGCCGCTTTTCTCCGTTGTAAACATAAATCTGGAATAAAGAATTACGCCCCGGGGCCGAACGAAAATAAACTATTTGGAAAGGAAAAAAAATTCGTTTTGAAGCGTACTTTCCGATTAGGTGTTTCTAATTATCGCAAACGTGGAAACGATGCCATATAAGTTACTTCTACGTGCGGATTTAATTAAGACATTTAACGGCCGAACACCTTTTTTTCGAAACGAACAGGACCTACCGACCATTCAATTTTCTCTTAATCATTGTTTTTCGTCGTTTCAAGGGCGAACCGGGAAATAAACTAAAAAAAATGACAACCATTTCTTTCGTAATAAATGTGTTTTTAGTGTAGAAAAATTGCATTTGTTTTGGACCCAAACCAAACACGTTGGCGAGATTCGGGAAGAAACGTTTCGGATAATATAAAAGGGCGAGAAAATTCCCGACTTGTGGCCATCGGCCGTTAGTTGTACGGGCGATTAAGGACGAGATAATCCGATAATTAATTTATATTTATAGCAAAAGATTTTAGTCTACGAAACTTAGTCACTTCGGTTATCGATCGAGACGAAGGAAGTTTTTGTAACTTCTTTCCGTTTATCATTTTGTCTTTTTGATGGACTTTTCGCGTGGAGCGCATTCCGATGGTCGCGTTTAAAAAATTAAGTATAAATTTTAAAATCTCGATTATCGTTAGTCACGCTTTTTAAGAATAACGAATTTCTCAACAATTAACGTCATCTGGCCGAAGTCGACTTCGATATGTCGGTCGCGCCACCTGGAGGCTTTTTTTCTTACTTAATCCAAATTTTTAAAATTACGAGAATTAGTTTAAAATCTGAACTTCCTAGAACGCATATTTTTTGAGGAAATATCATCTACTACTTAACTTTTTTCTCGCATTAATGAGAAGCCCTTCGTATTTCTTTCGGGAAGACTAGTGTCCGATAGAGCATCGATTATTTGTCGGATGCGCGCGTGTCACCCTTCACTCTTCCTCCGAAAGACCCATCGATCACGAAATTTTAAAACAATGCGGATTTGTCATCGATCACTTATAATCGCATTCGTCGGCAGTTATTTCGTGATAAAATTCGGTCTCCGTACTAATTATATAAACCGTCCCTTGTAAATCGATCCTAATCGGGAATGCCCTTTCGAATTTCGATCCATCCGAAGACTTTTAATGCTATTTTAAAACTTAATTTACGTTGTTATTTGCATAAGTCGATGCCGTGCCGAAAATCGTCCGAATTAAATATTTAACATCTATTTAATAATCCCGAACTTCGTTATTCTAAAAATTGGCTTTCGTCTAACTGCGATAAGTTATTTTAAATTGATAACGGAATTTTTCGCCCAAGTATCCGCATTCAGATGATAATTTTCTAAATGAATAAATATTTATCGAACTCACCAAAGCCAACAAGTGTCTCCTCTGCTTCAGATCTTCCATGACGTTTATGCAGAGTTCTCGAAAACTATGATTGTAAAGACAGTCTCCCGGTATTCCCCAGTGGAGATCCACCACGTTTAATTCGTATCCCTGTTTGGCACAGTGATATCTCAGTTTTGGAAATACGTTCTCGATCAAAGCACTCCTTTCCACTTCCGTGTCTGCAAATAAAATCGGTTTATTAAACGATAACGAATTTGCTCCGACCTGGAAAAATGTCGCCATTATAAAACTGCTTACCGTAATATCCGGCGCATAAGAAGAGCGCTATCTCCTTGGAAGGAACCACGATTTCGTTTTCGATTTTTCCCATTAGCAAATTGCGAATGTTTTCGGGAAATTTCTGAAGATCGGGAAGTCCTACGTTTTCGGCGTTTTGCATGTCTTTGTTTATGGATGAAGATATCTGAGTGGAATATAAAATGTTAATAAATCCGTAATCGTGCTTTTTCATTTTTAAGAATTAAAACTAAGATCGTTACGTATCTAAGCATTTAAATTTAATTTCCTCGGATATATCGAGTGAGATTTAGCGAGACGGTCAACCACTGTAAGCGACTAATTTGAAATTTGGCTGAATCGACAACTCTATATACCTATAATAAACGTAAAATAGCTGAATATGGTACGTTCGAGAGATTAAGAGATTTATTTGTCGAGATTCGAGAAAAATTAAATTTATAACTTTTTTGTTAAGTTTGAAAATTACTCAAAAATTATCGACTTGTCGTTTGTTTGTTTCCAACTTTTCTGCTTTTAACAGCAAATATCACTTGTTAATCGTAAAAGAAATAACGGGAAGAGCTCTCTCGCTCGATTTCCATGGCACTCACTCAAACAAGACCGTTATGGGACCATTACGAAGTCTGATAATTTTCAATTATATATTGATATAAAATTTAATTGATAACAAAAACTTAAAAGGAATAACTTTGTCGAATTATGGTCAAAATTTCCATTAAGAAATATTGTTTTTTAAGCTTAAATATTTTTGACACAAACTCAAAGTTAAAAATACGTGTGGCGCCATCTGTTGCGGGGTGCTATTAAAAATAACTTTTATATTATTAATATAGAAAGGCATAAAAACTTTTCTCTGCCTTTAAAGTTTAAAATGTTGCAAACGCCTATAATGAGTAAAATTTTCATTAAATTCAATTCCCTCTATCCCCAACCCTTTCACTTCCCCTACTCCAAAATTTAATAGCATCAAATGACCTTTATAACAAGTCACCGTGCCAAATTTCGTTCCTTCGTCTTTACTCGTCCCGAGATATTAAACTAAACACACGGTCTCAAAAGATCGAAAAATTGACACGATAACAATACTTTCCCGGCTGTGTGACATAACACGAGAAAGTAAAACGAATCTCGGATCATAACAAATGCGAACTAAATGTATAACACTAATATTTAGACGATTAAGAGAGGAAGTTTTCGGATTCCTCTATACTACGCTTCTTATGACAACAGAGGATTTAGGGATATTTTTGGCATTGTGACCTACCGAACCACCGGTGGGTGGTGGTGAAGTGGCAGACATTTCGCTCCATTCTCCCCCGGTGCTGTCGGATTTTGCTCCGGCAGATGTGGGCAATTGTTCGGGTCCGTGAGCCGCGTCGCTTGGAAGTCGTGAAGATGGTGGAGATTCTTTTCCATAAGGTATGCTGTCCGTCGATCTTATGGAACTTCTTCGCCTGTCTTGAATGGGTGAACTGCGAGGAAAAAATATTACAAGATTTACAAAACAAATTCCTTTCGGTTTAATCGATACGCGGCAATGCCCCTACGGAAAATCTATCCTCTTAATTATTAAATACATTTTACAGTTTAAATTTATTCATTTTCTTATTCGAAAATTGGAAAAAAAAGAGGAGGAAACTTTCTAAAAAAAATTATAAATCTAGTTTAATGAAAATAACAGTTTTACAAAAATAAACAATAGTTTAAATGATTTAATTATATTTGCTTCTTAGTAAATTTAGTAATTTAACACTCGCATCGCAGAACTTTTATTATAACACTTCTTCCGGATAAAGTGTTAACTTCTGTGATGTGAGTGTTAGCTTTATACTGTATAAGGCCTAATATAAGCAAATCTTCATTGACGGATTCAATTACTAAATTTATGATTTAATTACTTGCACTACAATATAATTATAGTTAATAAATTTTATTTTACCATTAAAAAAATCTGATTAAAAATTTAATTTAACCACTGCTCTCTTTAATAGAGGAAAATTACATATATTTAAACTTAATCTTTTTTAATTTCGTTTGTATTCACTTTGTTGAAATGAATATACAAAATGATCATCAGGCAAGCGTGTTCCGTCCCATTAGAATTTAACAAGATATTAGTTTGGCGGAATGTCAAAATAATAAAAACAAATCTTATTTTTTCGTGATAATTTTGACTTTTTCTCTTATAATAACTTATTTTATAAAGTATTATTAATACTCTGCACATTTAATTAACAGTTAATGTTATATTTCTGCATTATTAAAACTTATTTCAGTCGGTAGAATCGATATTAGGCTATGTCTAGGATGATGATGAATAAATTTGGAAGTAATCCCATTACGTAATTTATGTTTTCCAATAATTATCTTAAAAATCGACAAAGTAATAATTATTATTTTTCTGTCTATATATTTCTGTAAATTCTTTAAAACGTTAAACATTTTTAAAATAATTTAATAAAAACTTCAAATGGGCGCCAGTCAGATAGCCGAGATGATATAAAAAAAAGGTCAGCCTATCGCTCTGGTGGACCAGGGATCGAATTCGGGTGAGCAACTCCAGGAATTTTTCGGAAGGGCGGTCTGTCCCGGGTAAGTCGTGCTTCTCCCTCACTATGGGTCTGACAGAAAAGGACTCTAATTTAAAAAGCCCTCCTAGTACCCATAAAGAAAGAAAATCAAAAGGGCTTACACCTAGTCCTTTATATATATATATATGGGCTGGACTGCCTTCGGTTTATTACAGCATGATTAGCTTCCGCCAAAAGAGTCCGGATTCGAGTTTGCTTAAAGCAAATTCCATCTTTCCTCCTGAACCATTCTCGACATCTTCCAATGGAAACTGCTTAAGTGACAAAACTAGAACTTTCTTTTTATGCCAAAGGAATAATAGTTGTAAATTGGATAATTAACATTAAAAAAAACGCTTCTTGATAGATTTAACTAAAGCAACGTTTCCGTAACCAATTTCGATACATAATTAGCAATCATTTTGTCAATCTTAATTAAATAAAATTAAAATTTTCACCAAATTTCCTGTAGATCATATTTTAATAATTGCATACCGTATGCTTTATAATCTGAAATACAGCAATATCCTAAGGCGACTTTCATCTAAAATACCACAAATGCAAATTTAGTAATTTTTCCTGTGTTTACATAAATTTTATAAATTCAATTTTGCTTTCGTTTTGGTAGCCTGCCATAAGTGTACCGATAATACTTTTATATAAAATTTGTCCATAATTTTAAATATATAGTTGAATCCATTATGCAGGCCGACAATGATATTAATGACAGAATAAATGAATGAATGCTTAAAATATATATATGTTACACTAGGATAAATATTAAAAATATTCTATAGAATATAAATTATTATTATAATCATACGTATGGGCTGAAAACCTCGCACTTACATTCAACTCTCGAAATTGTTCTATTGCCATTTTCAATTTTGTTTATCGTTGATAAACCTGATCAGAATCGCAATTAACCATTATGGAAACAAGAGATGTGAATTTCTCAATGTACAGTACAAGTAAATATCTTTACACCAAAGGCAGATTTAAGTATGGGCCATCATAATTGGTCATTAGTATTTCCAGAAATAAATCCAATGAAATAATTGGATACAATCTTGTATCATTTCGGGCAAACTTGGTTCATAATGAGATCGGCCAGAATAAATAAGAGACAAAGAATGAAATCTCCACCCATACGATTTACAAAAATTTAGCCTACTAGATTCGAATCTGGAACCGCCGCGAAGGAAAGAAAAGCCTCTTGTTGCACAGCCACATGTTGAAACGAGTTAATTATGGATACAGTCCGAATAATTAAGAATATTTTGTATAAATAATTTCCATTGTCCATTAGTGCTTTTTTATTTATTTTTTTTTTTTTAAATCTCCCTATGAGGTTCTTTTTCATCACTCATTGTGAGTTCGGTCAGGTACACACTGAAGCGGTCGAGCAAGACTTCCCGTGAAAACTTCCTGGGGTTGCCCACCAGAATTCTTTGTTTGTTTATTAGGTTATGGCAACGCAACACTTGGGTGATCTGCCTAGATCAGGGGATGCCTTCCGGGAAGTCTTTTTAAGGGAAACTGGCCCCTATTTAGGCATTACAGACGTGGAGAAAACCTGGAAAACTCCACGTGGCCAACCCGTCCGAGCGAGGCGCGAACCCACGACCGAACTTCCATTGTACAGGGTACGAAAATCGCTTGGCCACTGATGGACCTTCCCACCAGAATTCGATACCGGGTCTTACAGACAGATAAGCTGACGCTTTAATCTCCTAGGCCATCCAGCAGTTATGTTGAACGCCAGCACCATTGAAGATATGGGAGAAGACATATCTTTCCCCTAAAAATATTGTACTTCATTCATTTTATCAAGCACTTTTTTCTTTAAAATTAAATTTTTTTTCCGTAGGCTACCGCCCTGGAGACCTTTTTTGGAAGGGAGGAGAAAGCCGCCCACAGACCCGCTGCAGTTTCCTCCGATTCACGAACGGAGGATTCCCGTTTCTACAGTATTTCTTGATCCTCTATAACTTCGCCCTCACGAAAAATGACGTTGCGCCACTGAATGCTAGAAACGTAAAAGTTTTACTATTTGGAAATAATAAGAAAAATAAGAAATGGAATGGAATAAAAAAGGAAATAAGAAAAAAAGAATTGTATGATTTAGACGTGCTATTTTTGATCACATACTTACCAACTCTATCTTTCAGACATTGTACAATAAAAAAGAAATCCTAATAATATCACAATATAAAAAAAGAAAATAATAAAATGTTTCTATTTTATCCATAAATTTTATATTATTTTAAATTGAATATGAACTTTGATTATTTTTTAATCTATCGGCGAAGCTTTTCGGAAATAAAAACGAGTTGCGTTGGAAATTTGGTAGTAAGAATTGGTATCAATAACGTTAAATTTCACTTATTTTAAAATATCGCCTACAAAAGATAATTAGAAATGTAAAAGAGTTGGATTTGAAATAATTTTTTCATGAAATTCTAAAGGACTCAAATATTCTTACTATTCACACTAAAAATTCCTATTAAGACCTCAAGTATTCCTATTATTTCCACTAAAACTTCCTATTAAGGACTCAAATATTCCTACTAAAATTTTCTACTATTTACTTTGCAGTAACATAATCGGCATGAGAAATTAATTATATAGTACAGTACATAACATATTTTACAAATATCTAATTTGGAATAGATATATATTATTTACAATAATCCAAACAAATATTTCTGATAAAATATAAAAGGAAAATCTCTTATTTAAGACCGACTATAAATAAATCTTTTCCTACGGTGTTACACAATATCAGTGTTATGTAATATTATCAAAAATGTAGCGTTAATATCGAAATTTTTCATTAAAGATTTCTTATTAGCATCTTAGATTTGTTAAATTTAATTAGTAGATCGTTATTTTCTACAAAAATTTGAAAAAAAAATGTTTTTAATATATTTTAAAATTAATTAAATTATATATTATTTACAACATTTCAAAATAAATTAAGTTATTTATGACCTTTAGACGTCGTATAAATAGTTTTTTTTTTATATTGGTTAGAAGAGAGGACTTACTACTCGCCTGGTGTTTTATATTTCAAATCATAAAATCAATTAAAAAGTTTTATTTTTAAGTGCATTATATATTCTATATTATAATGGGATATCAAATTGTACTTATAAAATTAATTAAAATGAATATAATGATTTTATCAAGCCCACTTAAGGTACTAATTCATTCTTAAAGTTTTTAAAGTCTGCAATTCTAAGATTACATTCAGTCCGTCGATGAATGTTTATCGTTAATTTCGAATTAATTTGAACGAAATCTATCGATTCTTTGTTTAATAAGATATTAAAATCATTCGAAATTTTATGCGCCTTTCGAATATTTAATTATTTATTATTCTTCTTTCATTTTAATCCAAACTCTGAAGAAGACACATTTTATTTTCAATCATTTTTTTAAGTTGATTTTATCACTCGATTTAACACATATTTTTAAATTTTTTCCCCTACTATTTCCCTCTATTTTGCTTACTTTGGAAAAAATATTATCACAAATTAAAAATAATAATAATAATGCTTCATTTTGAATGCTGAGGACTCATACTGCCTATTCGTAATCAGTGACGTGTTATTCAATAGGAAAAAAGGAAATTGCCTGGGGGACCCTAGCAACAGGGCTCCCCGAACCAATCTGTTATAAGAAAATATTTTCCCCGAAAAATTACCCCGAAGAAACACTGTACATGGGGCGTTCTAATTCAAATTTGCCTGGGCCCTATGAAGGTAAAACGCGCCAACTGATTATAATTAGTCTGCAGTTGCGCTTATATTTTATCAAATATGCTTAAAAAAATGAGAATTTTTCGAACTGTCGACTCAATAAAAATATAATTTACACGATTTTTCTTTTAGTGCTAA